GAGACGCGCGTGCCGAGGTACTCTTTGGTTGTCATCTTGGGCTGCGTGGCCTTGAAAGGCACGACATCCGGGCTGTTTGTTGGTGTCTGGACCACCGCATAGTCGTTCTTGGGCGTCGACGCCATGGACGAAGCAAAAGGAAAAGTGAGGAATGTGTTTTTGGAAACACTTACGCTCCTCAAACTTATGTTTGGAGCAAAGATGTGCCCGATCAGCTCGTGGATGATTCGCCCGGTTTGGTTCCTCGGAATGAGGTTCGACGTTTATCTAGTTGAAGTTGTCTTATGGATCGAGAGACACGCGTGCATGATTAATGACGTTGTGTGTTGCAGAGTTCCCACCAGATTGCACAACCGGATTTCGACCTGAATTAGGCCAGTCTGCTGGCTTTGCAGTATCGGTGCCAAGTTGGTCGATGTTCAAATGTATATCTCTCTACTAGCGTTGAAATAACTACATTTAATGTAGTTATTTCGAGCCGCCGAGGCGCCACCGGCCGAGGCGATAGTAGGCTTCAAAAAGTTGATGTGCGCATACTGATCGCCGGGCAACAGCGCGGTTTGGAGGGCAACGACGCACCTGCATGAAGTACGGGCAAGAGGAACGCGTGTCGCCTTGGGGTTCTGGTTGCTGCTTGTCCGTCGCTATCGTCGTCGGCTTGCATATCCTATACAGCGACGCATGCTCAACAAATAGTTGAATCATTCTCTTTTTCTAGGCGACAGAGCTTTGCTAGTAGCTATAAGCTTGCCCGACGAGTGGTGCTTCATAGTAGTATGCGTAGTCGAAGGCGTCGTCGAGGTTGGCTGGAGCAACACTGTAGTACGAAGACTCTGGTTCTCTTCGAATTGGTGAGAAACGCGCGGGGCAAAGCTCCTTGGACCACAGTAGCCACCGTGAACGTTTTGTAGTAGCTACGGCGCATCGCCCGACGATGTGAACGGATGCCGAGCTCCGGCGGACCAGATGCGGCCACTCCGATCACGAATGTGCGACGCAGCCGGCACCCTCTTCGTCATCAAGGGTCCTTGGCCGTCGCCGCAAAGGCGTGTA